AAACACTTTCAGGGCCGTGTGACTATAACGAAAAGGCGTCTGGACACAGAGCAGGGAGTTCTTGCTCCCCCGCCACCCCCAGCAAGGCCCTGGCCGGGACAGCTGCTCCCGGTGTCAGAACTGGGCTGTGATTTCCGCTCAGTGGAGGGCTCTCTCTGAGCCCCCAGACCCTCCGCCATGAAATCGCTGGTGATGTCTGAAAGGGGCAGGAAGGAGGGTGACTGGGGCCAAGGACGGATGCCGTCTGCACAGCCTTGGGGAGTGGCCTGGGGCTCCGAGGGTAGTGGCCCAAGATCCAGGGCTCCCATCACTGCATACACTGGTTGGCCTGGCACTTATTCTACACCGACTGCCCAGGTTTGCCTTTCGGTCCCATCAGCGGTAAAAGTCACCCTCCAGGTGTGCTTTCCAGTGGAGAAGACCCCACAGAAGTCCATTAGTGCAGCACCACCTTCAACGGGCCCTCTGCCCAGGCAAGTGCCTTCCCGCTACGTCACATACACCATTCAACTCTAATAAAGCAATAATGAAAGTATGAAATACCACAGGCAAGAAGATGGGAGGAGGGTCATCAGTGAACAAGGGTTTTCAAGAAAATGGAAGAAGATGGGAGGTAGATGGCAGAATGAGCGTAGAGCAAAGCCCAGGATCAAAATGCCGCAGGCATGCTGGGGCTGATGGGGAGCAGGTCTGCCAGGCAGAACCCAGTAGGGGCTCAGGATTTGAAACAGCAGGTACCATAGAAAGCGGAGAGACAAACGGTGCTAAAAATGGGGACTGCTGAAAGAATCACTGACAATGGGCCCCACCTTCCCCAGCCTCTAGACACTGCATGGCATAAGATCTCAAAGCCAAGCCAAAACAGGGGGGCCCATCTTCAAAGACTTTGACCGCTGTGAAAATGCAACAAGCAGGAAAACGGAGATCCTTCAAGCCATTCTTGGTGCTGTATTTATATCATAATTGGGAAGCCAAGTCGAAAGACGGTTCCTGATCTTCAAAAAATACAAGTGATGTGCCAGGGTCTTTATCCACACAGGTGGCCCCACTGTAAGGTGAACCAGGGGATAAGGGGTTCCCTGGCCACCTAGCCTGCTGACACAGGGCTGCCCCGCACAAAGCACGGACAGGAAGACACCATCGTCAGGAGTGGGACATCCCAGCAGATGCCCCCAGGCACCATATGCTAAACCAGCAGACCACATCCACCCCACGCAGGGTCTCCACACCAACTAGTCCTACTATCTCCAGCCAATCAGCCTCACCCTGAGGCCCCGCCTTCCTTAAGCAGGATAGAGTTTGCTATCTTTGGGCTTTAAAAGCTCCACCTGTTTTCTTCTCCAGAGCCTCATCCTCAGAGCATATTGGATTCTGCACTGGAGCAGGTTCCCTGCTTGGCCGTAACTTTTCTTCGTGTTTGATTTCGGGTCTCTAATAATTTTTCTTTTATAACATGCTGAAAGCCTTGAAAACCCTGTGCTTCGGTAGGTGATTAAGCTCCTACATCATTCCCACAAATGAAAAATACATGAAATAAATTATAAATGTGTATTTCAAGAGAAGGCAGCGTGTTTGAAGTCTTCCATCATTGGAATTTGTTGAATAGGATGCTATGGGGTATTAGAGCAGTGTGTGCACGCTCTAAAACACGCATGTGCATGTGTTTTCACAGCTGCTAAAGAATCTTTCTCCCACAAACTCTTATATGGGAGCCCAATACACAGAACTGATTACAAGAAGCTGCCATGGCAAAGCAGGGGAGGGGAATCAAGGCCCCATCTGCTCAGATCACCTTCTCTTTCCCTTCTCGTGGCCCAAGTAACTTCCTAAGATGACATTTCCAGGGAACACAGTTAGCAACCCTGCCTCGGAACAACTAAAAAGTAAACTGAACTATATGAAAAAAAAGGAGGTACTTTAACTTTATAAAATATACAAAATTTAAAACACGAGCACTTATCCTTACCTGCACACTTGTGAACACTGACCAATAAAGTCACAGGTAAATTCAGCCAGGCGCAATTCAGCCATCACCACCACCATCTTCACCACCACCGTCCTCATCCTCACCTATGTTTAGTAAATTAAAGGTGAGCCAGGTCTAAGTGACTGAAGCATACTTAATCATTCAATCCAAACAACAAAACCATGAGACCAGTATTGCTATTATCCACATTTTAAAGAATTTGACCAAGGTCCCATAGCTAGTGGGTGACAAGGGCCCAAGATGCAAGCCCAGGTCTGCTGGACTCTCCTTGCACACTCTTAGTCATGGTGTTCCACTAGTACCCATAACAGCCACTTGTGTCCTTCTCTATGTGTTTTATGAATTTTTTTTACTTGTATTAACCACTTTCATAAGAAGGAAGACAGGTATCAGAGGGAGAGCCAACTCCTTAAGTCCTAAAGAGACAGGTAAGGCAGGGATGCCCTGGGTGGCTCATCTAGCCTGGGATCACCATGGAGGTGACCCCAAATGTACCAAAGGAAGGGCTCAGAGGAAATTTCTCACCCCAAGGGGACTCAGTGCTCCTGAATCAGCCAGGTCTGCACATCCTTCTTCAGCTTCTTCCCTTCCCACTCATCAGACACATTAGAAAAGCTTATTAGTTTTGATATAACCACACACTATCATATAACTATACTAAGAAGACAGGGGAGAGAAGGAAGGGATGTAGAAGAATTAATATTCCTAATCTACCAAAACAGACAATGTCTAAAATTGATAAGTCAGGGACTTCCCTCATGGTGCAGGGGTTAAGAATCCACCTGCCAATGCAGGAGACAAGGGTTCGATCCCTGGTCTGGGAAGATCCCACATGCCACGGAGCAACTGAGCCCGTGCACCACAACTACTGAGTCTGCGCTCTAGAGCCCGTGAGCCACAACTACTGAGCCCATGAGCCACGACTACTGAAGCCTGCACCCTAGACCCCGTGCTCTGCAAAAAGAGATGCCACCCAATGAGAAGCCCACTCACCGCAACTAGAGAAAGCCCACGTGCAGCAGTGAAGACCCAATGCAGCCAAAAAAAAAAAAAAAAATTGTGAGAAAATATTTTTTAAACCTTTTTTTCATTAAAAAATAAAGTTGATGAATCAACAGACAGCAGTATATTATTTAGAAATTTGAAGGAAAATATTAGCAGAAACAGATCCAATAATTTACAATTGTTCTCTGGGGAAGACAAAGCAGAGGCCAAGGGGCAGCTACTTAAGAGACTGCTACATTTTTATAAGCATTTTAGCACCATTTGGTTTTTCAAATCGAGTGCCAATATTTGATTTGTGAAAATGAAACAAAAATAATAAAACCTACCCTCCTAAGTGGTCTCCTTTAGCTTAATGGACTCCAGAAAGGAGTTCAAACAGAGACAGTGTGGTTTGATGTGGTTTGTGGAGCCATGCGATCTGAGCCACTGCAGATGGGGGGTGCCTGGTGTTGGGTGAAGAGCCCTGGATCTTGAAACAAAAGACCTGGGTTCCAATCCTGGCCTTGGTGCTCCAAGCTCTGTGGCTTTCCGCAAGCTGCATAATCTCTCTGAGCTTCTTTACCGCATAAGGGCAGGCAGCCAGACCTGATATAACCAAGAGGATTAAATAATATAGATCCCAACCCAGTGAAGCAAACCTCGTGAGGAGAAAAGGGTGGGGACCTGAATGTCTGGGCCAGGCAGGTGAGAGCCATGGAAAGACAGACTTGGATAAGAGACATAGGTTTCTTGCCTATGAACAGGCACTGAGCTGAAATTTTCCCTCTCCCCTCCACACTGTTCCCCCGTTCCCTGAGACCACGGGGTATATTTTAGGGTTCCACAGACTCAAAAGAGAGGTGGGTATCCCAGGTGTCAATCTGCATCCCTCTGTATGAGGCTCACCCAGACCCTGAATCCATCTGATCCTGGCCTGGGCCCTCTTGAACAAAGTTCCTCCTTGACTCTTCTGAATTAAAAAAAAAAATCTCCAAACTACTTAGCCTTAGGATCAAACCTTAGGCCCCAAAGAGGAACCTCCAGCCCTTTCTCCAGGATAGGATCCAGCTCACCACTGTGTCAAGCCTTGTGAGAGGGTCTGATCACAGCTGTCATTTTAGGACAAGCAGGTCCAGGAACCAGCCCAAGCTGAGGCCATTTTTTCCAGGTTCTGAGCATTTAGAAGAGCTCACGGCTCAAGGGCCAGCTGCCGACTGCCTGGTTGCCAAGGGTCCCTTTTTCCCCCTCCTCTCCCTGGACTCAGAGCCTGCACTGGTTTGGGAGTGAGAGAGGTCTGGCAGGTCCATGCTTTCCTGGGACTGCCACAGAACCTCTTCCTACCCCTCCAACTCCCATGACCAGACCCACACCCATTGAGACAACACTGCTTGTGCTCATATGCCATGATGTGAAGAGGTAGAAAGATGCCCTGTGCAACAGCCCTGAGCAGAGAGAACCCAAAACAAGACTCCAGATCAGGCCCAAGGCACTCCCACCAGGATGCGGAGGCAATGAGAGAGTTAGGCTGAAATCTCCCCGAAGGCCGCAAAGAACACAGTCTGCTCTCTGTGTAGACAGCATGTGGGGTGAACACACGGACCTGCAGATTCAATCTGCAAAGTAGATTGATTCAATCCCCCCAAAGTAAAGTTTATATACTTTGGCACTTAATACTTGGCAAGGGTTAATCATAATGTCAATTAATACAATGATTAAATTAATAAAATACATCTGGATGGGAAAAAAACCCTCAGAGACCAGCTTTGATTCCATGAGCACAAGGTAAAGGACCCAAGAGGGGGAGACAGCAGAAGGAGGGTTAAGGGGACTAATTACCCAGTGATTAAATGTCATTTTCCTTGAGTCAAGTGATTCTCATTTTATTCAAGTGTGCTGGAAACGATGGTGAAGATTTCTTTTCTTTCATTTTGGGGAATTCTTTTTTTTTTTTTTTTTTTTTGTCCAACGAATAACTCCACCATCTGCTTTTAAAAGTAGTCTGCAATTTCTAAATTACAATCTTTAAAAATCAAGCTGACACTGTCAACTCCTGCTGGTTAGGATTTTCTGAATCACCTACAGAAAGACGGCTGCTCCGCCGAGAGCCTGTCTGGGAAACTGGCCTGTATATTCTGTGCCCCAAAGCATCTGTTTCCTCAAAGATGTAGCCGGGAGGCTCAGGGTATGAAGCCAGGCACCTGCTCATTTCCTTAGGAGTAAAGCTGATGGTATATGTGGTCCGGCCCTCCACAGGGATATTCCCTCGGGGGCCAGACCAGGTGGGCTTACAGCTTTTGGTAGTGACGGGAGGGCAGGGCACATAGTGGGCTCGTGTGGTGGTCAGGTGGTCCAAGGGCTCGGTGGGAAGTTTCAGCTGTGGGATGGGCTTGACTGGCTTGGTCTGCACGCTGGCCCACTGCTTAAAGTCCTCTTTGGTCGTGGTGGAACTTTCAAAGCGGCCACCCTTCTTGACCGAGAGCACCGGTCGGTAGGACCGAGCTGGGGCACCCTTAGGGTACGTGTAGTGGGCCTGCACTGTCGTCAGAAGGTCCATCTTTTCTTCAGGAGCGACATAGGTGGCGGGAGCTTTGGAGAACATCTGGGGCGTTGGCCAAGCTTGGTACTTATCTCGAAATTCGCTGGTGTTAGAGAACGGCGTGTCTAGCGCACTAGGCCTGGCTGGAGGTTTCAAGCTCTTGGCTGGCTCCCCCATCAGGCCCCGGTATGACTCGTTGTGAGTGGTAAGGCTTTCAAAGGGGATTTCACAGGGTCTGAACTTCTCCGGCTCATACACATAGCGTTTCTCCACGGGGTGGGCCACGTAGCTCATCTTGTAGTCTGTCAGATCCTCCAGGGGGATGTTACAGAGCTTGAGTGCGGCCGGAGGCTTACAGCTCATGGTGTTCACCAGGCCCTTCATGGAGTAGTCATCCTGGTGTGTGGTTCGGCTATCAAACTTGGTTGACGCTGGCCGGTAGCTGTGTGGCAAATGAAGCAGTTCTCGTCTTGGTTGGTTCCAGGGTAAATAATCAGCTGAAAATAAAGCAGAAGTGGTAATCACTCATAAATCCAGTCACTCAACCTGCATGTATTCCAAGAAGCCCCAAAGCCACAAGCCAATCTCCAGTGAGATGTTCCCTGAGACAAAGAACAGAGTAGATCCCTGCTACCACCTCAACCAAGGGCTTGCCGTTCCAACTTTGTGGTATTTGAGGGCTACCGTGCAGAAGAGACAAATTTATAGGAGTCTCATCATACCCACAATGCTGCATGCAGGGATTTTAGAGGGTCCACAGCCATGGGAGGATACAGGGAATCGATTCCAACAGAGAAGTCCAACCGCTGGTTTACCCTGATCCAAGAAACATTTCTACTCCTCTAAGGGGAAGGTGGCCTCTGTGAATCAGCAAAGAGTGACTGTGAAGGTGCATGCGGGGCAGTGACACAGGGGATTCACAACCCACCACTGCTGGGCCACCAGCCAGACCTACCAGGCCTCCCTGGTCAGCCGTGGAGTGACAGCCATTAAGTCCCTGTAATCTATACAAATCAAATATGGCACTCCAAGGGAATAAGGGCACTGTGTTGGCTAGCCAACTCTGAATCCACAGGGAATTCTCTTGCCTACAACTTTACAAAGAAAACAAAAGCAGCTTCCCAGGAGTCTTTGAGGTATATAGCCAACACCAGTGGAGTCCACAGGCACACTTTCTTTAAACAGCTTTATTGAGGTATAATTTGTGTAACATAAAATAAAATGTACCATCCTTCATACACAATTCAATAACTTCTACAGAGCTGTGCAACTATCTATAATCAAAATCTAGTTATACTGAGTCACCTTGCTGTACAGCAGAAATTAACACAACATTGTACATCAACTATACTTCAATAAAAAAATAAATTTAAAAAATCTATTTGTAAAACATTTCCATCAACCCAAAAAATATCAGTCAAGCCCATCTGCAATCTTCATTCCCATCCCTGGGCAACCATTTATCAGTTCTTGGTCTCTATAAATGTGCCTTTTTCTGGACATTTCCTATAAACAGAATTGCACAATAGGTAGTGTTTTGCATTGGCTTCATTCACTAAGCATGTAATGGAGGTTTATCCCTGTCATAGCATATATCAGTTCACTCCTTTTTATTGCTGAATAGTACTAGAGTATATGGATATACCAAATTTTGTTTATCCATTCATCAGTTGATGGGTATTTGAGTTGTTTTCACCTTTTGGCTATTATGAAAATCTCTGCTATGAACATTGATAGACAAGTATTTGTGTGGATATATCCTTTCATTTCTCTTACAAAGATACCAAGAAGCAGAATTGATAGGTTACATGTTAAATCTATGTTTAACTTTTCAGGATACTGCAAACTCTTCCAAAGTGGGTGTGCCAGTTTACTTTCCTACCAGAAATGTATGAAGGTCCTCATTTCTCCACATCTTCAACACTTGTTATTATGGTTTATTTTTTAATTATAGACATTCTGTAGTGGGTGTTTAGTGGTATCTCATCGTATTTTAATTTACATTTCCCTGATGACTAAAAATGTTGAGTATCTCTATATGTGCTTATTAGCCATTCATGTGTCTTTTTTGGTAAAATATCTACTCAAATCTTTTGCCCATTTTTTAAAACAGTTGTTTGTCTTATTTTTGAGTTATAAGAGTTATTTGCATATTCTAGATACAAGTCCAATAGCAGGTATGTGATTTGTAAATATTTTTTCCCGGTCTATCACTTATCATTTCATTTTCTTGCTGGTACCTCTTGAAGCACACAGAGGTTTTGAATTTTCATCAAGTTCAGTTTTTTCCCTATGTCTTAGCCTAAAAGATTTAAAATTTTACCTTTTACATTTAGGTCTCTAACACTTTTTGAGTTAATTTTTTAGTATGGCATGAAGTAAGGTCTATGCTCACTTTTCTGCATGTGGATATCTAATATGTCAGCATCATTTGTCAAAAAGACAAATTTTCAGCTCTTTTGGTTTGATTTTTACATATAAAATTTAGGATCACTTTGCCAGTTTCTGCAACAACAAGAACAACAACAACAAACCTGCGGGAATTTTGATAGGAATAGCATTAAAACTATAAATAAATTTGGGTGGAACTGTACCTTAACTGTACTGAATCTTCCAGTCTATGAACATGGACTATTGCTACCTGTTTCCATATTATTTCTCTCGGCACTATTTTGTACTTTTCAGCGTACAAGTCTTACATTTATTTTTTTTAACTTATTACAAATATTTTATTCATTTTGAGGCTATAATGAAAACTGTCCCTTAATTTTGTTTTCAGATTTTCAATGCTAATATATATTTTTTCAATGCTAATTTTTATATATTGCTCTTCAACACTGACACACTGATGAATTCATTCTAGTAGGGTTTTTTTTGTGGATTCTTTAGGATTATCTTATCTGAGAATAAAGACAGATTTACTTCTTCCTTTCTAATCTAGATGCATTTATTTATTTGTTTTTCTTGCATTACTGCACTGGCTAGAACCTCAACTACAGTGTTGAACAGAAGAGGTGAGAACTGCCATCCTAGCCACGTTCCCAATCTTAAGGGGAAAGCATTCAGTCTTTCCACATTAAGTATGATGTTAGCTATAGGGGTTTTTGTGGAAGCACTTTATCAGGCTGAGGAAGTTTCCTTCTATTCCTAGTTTCTTGAGAGTTTTTATGGGTATCAGATCTTGTCAAATGCTTTATCTGTGGCTTTCAATCATGTAGGTTTGTCTTTTACCTTATTAATATAGTATATTACATTAACTGATTTACTGATGTTAAACCAATCTTGCATTCCTGGAATAAACCTCACAGTTTTATAATTATTGGTTCTGTAATTGTCTTTTAATTTAGAGAAAAGTATATATTTACCTATATAAGCAGTTTTATCAGCGCTCTTTATTCTTTGCATGGATTTGTGTTAACATTCAGTATTATTTTCTTTTAGCCTGAAGGACTTCCTTTATTATTTCTTGCAAGGCAAGTCAGTGAGCTACAAATAAACTCAGTCTTTGTTTATCTCGGAATATATTTTCCCATCATTTTTTTAACATCTTTATTGGATTATAATTGCTTTACAATGGTGTGTTAGTGTCTGCTGTATAACAAAGTGAATCAGCTATACATATACATATGTCCCCGTATCTCTTCCCTCTTGCGTCTCCCTCCCACCCTCCCTATCCCACCCCTCTAGGTGGTCACAAAGCACTGAGCTGATCTCCCTGTGCTATGCAGCTGCTTCCCACTAGCTAGTTATTTTACATTTGGTGGTGTCTATATGTCCACGCCACTTTCTCACCTCGTTTCCCATCATTTTTGAAGCATAATCTTTAATAGTTATAGAATTCTTGGTTGAGAGGATTTTTTTTCCTTTCAGTACTTTGAGTATGTCACACCACTGTTTCTGATGAGAAGTTGGTTAGTTATTGTTGTCATTTCCCCGTATGTGATGAGTTGTTTCTCTTTTGCTCTTTTCCAAATCTTTGGCTTTCAACAGCTTGACTGTTATGTGAATAGGGGTGGATCTCTTTGCAGTTCTTCTCTCTGGATTGTGCTTCTTGGATGGATGTGCAGATTAATATTTTTCATCAAACTTAACAGTTTTGACAATTAAATACTTTTCTGCCCCTTCTTCTTCTGGGCCTCCCATTATCTGTCTGTTGGTACACTTAATGGTATCTCACAAGCCTCTGAGTTCATTTTTCTCAATTTTTTTCTCATTCTTCACATTGGATAATCTCTACTAAGATCTCCATTTTCATGGATTCTTTCTTCTGTCAGCTCAAATCTGCTATTAAGCACCTCTAATGAATTTTTTTATTTTGATTATTGTCCTTCCAATTGCAGAGTTTTCATTCAATTATTTTTAGGATTTCCCTTTACAGTATTCTCTATTTGACTGGAAATTGTTGTTATATTTCCCTTTATTTCTTTAAACATGGTTTCCTGTTGTTCTTCGAACATATTTATAATAGCTACTTTGAAATATTTGTCTGCTAGGTCTAACATCTGGGCCTCTTCAGAGATAGTTTCTACTAACTGCTTTTTTCCTGGATCACACTTCCCTGTTTCTTTTTATGCCTCATCATTTTTTGTTAAAAACTCAACACTTTGGACAATATGCCTCAGCAACCCTGGATTCTGATCTTCCACCGGGAATAGTTTTTGCTGTTTGTTTAGTGACCTGCCTGCAGTAATTCTATAGAGACTTATCTCCCCTGCAGTGTGCGGCCACTGATGTTTTTGCTGAGCTTTTTTCTTTTTAATTGATTTTATTTTTAAGCCTAGGCTCCTAAGAGCCACCCTCTATCAGCATAGTTTAGCAATCAGCCTATGATTTACCAGAAGTTATACTTAATCACCTTAAGCCACTAAGGCTTTCACCATTTGCTAATGGATCCGTGTGTGGGTTGGAGAATATAGTCAAAGATCAGGCAATTAACAAGTCTTCCCCGGCTTTTATCTTCTGCTGGCCTGTCTCTTGTCTCCTCTGCACATGCACTAGGCATCATATTCAGCCAGGAAAGATGAGTAGATAACTAGACCCTTACTCTGCTCTCTTGAGCCTGCACACTGCCTTGCCCATAGGCACAGTCTTCCAGACCACCAGGAATATGTATGAGCTTATCAAGGCCTGCTCTGTGTCTGTCTCATTCTCTGGATCTCTTTGGGAAATTTCTGACTCTTCTACTGGACTGTTGCTTGCTTCAAGTAGTACTGCGACCTCAGACTAACTGCAGAAGTTGTCTTCCCTGGTTACTTTGCCATTAATATCACAATTTTTTTATGGGAATGCCTGCGTATGTACTTTACTCCAATCAGCCCCCACTGGCAGCAGAGCTGCTGGTTTTCACAGCCCAGCCTGCCCAGGCAGAACCTACCACACAGATGGAACTTGGGGGAGGGGTGATGGAAGCAGCCCCAGGATAAAACACCACACACCCCCACTGTTCATAACAAGGTTTAGTAGTTTTTCCTGAATAAATGGTTCTCAATTTGTTGTA